CCCGTGGGGTTTGGAAACACACGCTCGTCCCGCTCCTTGGCGTGTCCTCCAGACACATCTGAACCCAGTCGGACCTTCACCCACGGGCCTTGCCCGCCTGCCCGCCCCTCCCCCCAGCGCCGGGGCCTCAGCAGCCAGAGCGTCTGGGAGGCCGGGTGTGCTGAGCGAAGGACCAAACACATCGGCAGTGACGGCACTCGATCTCCCACAGACACGGACTCACAGGTGAGGACAGGGAGGAGGCCGGGAAGCCGCCCCTGGGTGAGGACCAGAAGCGGGGTGACCGCCGGAGCGCGGGGACCGCTTCAGATGCAGAAGGGCTGTGCCTGCACGCACCTTCCCCCGCGTGGACTGCAGAGGGGCCTGGAACCGGCGCGCAGAGCTCAGAACCGGCCTCCACACGCCGCCCCCCGCGGGGGACCGGGGCTCCTGGCCGGGAGCCCGAGGACGCAGGAGTACTGGAGGCTCCGGATGCCTCTCCCACCGGTAAAACCGCGACGTGTCAACAAGGGTGACATTCCAAAAGGATATAGAAACAGCTTGAAGGAGCTTCCACTGCCCAATCTAGAAATAACGAGAGATTGATTACAACCCACTGAAGACCACGGGAGACCACGGCCCCGGCCACGGTGGCGAACAAACGCAAGAACAAATGGGCGGACGGAGGACGCAGGGAAAGGTCTTCCTGCAGCAGAAGGCGTGAAGGGGACAGACGTCACGGCCTGCAGCCGCGATGGCGCTGAGGCTGGGGTGGCCCGCGGAGTCCTGGAACACCTCCTCGCTCAAGGCGAACAAATACTAACCAAACGGCGGTGACTACACGCCAGACAGTGTGGCCGAACCTGGTGACCACGGTCCGTATCAGTAGGAAGGTCACCACACGGGGTGCTTCCTCATGTGACAGACTGGACACAGTGCCATCGAGATGGAGGCGTTTCTGACAGAGTCACACAGACCTAGGCCGAGGCTCATCCCGTGGACGGAAGTGCCGTCCCCTGAGTGCTGTTGAGAACGAGGGATCCGTTAACAGGCTCACGTGCAAGCCAACCAGATGCCCCACGTCCCTGCACAGACGTGGAGATGCTACTGGGGCCACTGGTGACATGGGGGCAGGCCTGGGGACAGGCAGACATCCCGCCTGGAGTCTGTGCGGCCTCGTGCCAGACAGGGCCCGGCGGTAGCAGCACTAGGGGTGCAAAACACTCCATCAGAGGAACGTATACACACACATGTGTAACACACACACACACACACACGAGACACCGTGACGGGGTCAGGGTCATGCAACGCTCAGAACTGAGAGCATAAACAAAGAGCTGCGTGCACTCCTCCTACAACTCTTCTGTAGGTTGGAAACGATTTTCAATTAAAAGAAAGCGTATTTTTAAATAAGCACCGTCTGCTGGGAAGACAGCAACAGGGGGCAGCAGTTTCACCTTCCCAAAGGCCCGTGTATGACTCACGGCAACTGAGCGGCCAAACCCAAGACCAGCAACTGCGATTTAGAGCAAACCCCGCGAAGATGAGCCGCAGGCGGCCACAAGCCCGAACGGGACCCCCAGAACTGCGCAGGCCGGGCTACCGCCGGGCTGGAGGCCTCAGGGGGCAGCGGCCACAGAGCAGCATCCCGCGGACGAGATCGGGAGGTGGGAAACGGGGTGGGCAGGACGGGGCGGTGGAGACAGGGACGGCCCAGGGGCGAGGCGGGGAGGGGAGCCGTGGATGCTGAGAGCAAGCGTCCAGCACACGAAGGCCACGAGAGAGGGGCTCCGCCAGGTTCGCAGGCTACCTCAGACACACACGCCCATCGAGTTCGAGGAAACGAAAGTCACGGGAAAAGAGCCAACGGACAGCACGGGGATTGAACCCCTCCGCCCCAAGTTGCTACAGGGAAGAGAGAAAACGAAGACGGGTAACATCCCTGCAGACAGTGAAAGACACCGAGAAGCCGGAATCAACAAACAGACCAAAACTGTCACGGTCTACCTCAAAACACGCTAAGAGACACTGACGACAGTCGTAAAGAACAAGGGAATTAGCAGAAACGAGGCGCCAGAGTTGAGAAAACGTTAGACAGAAAACTCAAGAAACCACGAGCCCGAGAACGTGAGCGCAAGCGAGGCCGACAGAGGGTTCAAGAGGCAAGGACGACACAACGGTCCCCGTCGGGGTCTCCAAGGAGGAAGCCGGGGAAACAAGCCACCAAAGATGTTCCCGAACGAAAACAGACTTGAAGCTGCGTGAACGCCACCCATACCCGAGACCGCCAACCCAGACAACCGGTTCCAAGGAAAATTAAAGGCTCGTAAGAAAAAAAAAACAAATTCTTTGGGTAACTTGGGCTAAAAGAACACGTGACGTAGAAGAGAAATAAAATTAGACTATCATCAGGCCTGAACAGCAACACTTCATGCCAGGAATAAATATCCGGAGTAACACGTTCAAGATTCTCGAGGGAAGCAAATGGGAGACAAGGATTTCACAGCTACGCAAATGGGCCTTCAAGCACACAGGGCACGAGCTGCTTCCGCGTGTAAGCACCTGCAGACGCCCTCCCCACGAACCATCCCAAAACAACCCGGCAGAGGAATCACAGAAAACCGAAACGACCACACAGACACCAACATCAAGATGAATCATCAGTGTGACGCACACGGTCCCTCGAGGAACCCTGCGGGAGGACGAGAGGGACCGCGGGGCGATGCACTGCTGCAGCGAGCGAGGCCGCTACACGCTCGACACGCACGACAGGACGCTCCCGGCCAGAGCCCCGCCTGCCCGAGCGGGAAGACCCTGCTCCCACCCCAGCACCCAGCCGCGAGGCCACCTGCCCTTCCCTGGGAGCCACCTGGACGGGGGAGGCAGTGTCTACGGGGGGCGCACTAGGTCAGAGGGGCGTTCCACAGACCCTTACTGACGCCAAAGGGAAAAACAAAGCGCCCGACCGAGTCAGGATGAACCGTCTGCTAAGCGAGAACCCGCACTCCTGGAAGGGAGTCCATCTGCCGCCCACAATCTCCAGCACCGAGTGGCAATCGCTAGACACGCAGAGAAACAGGGAAGTGGGACCCGCAGGTGAGGAGGAGGGCAAGCCAGCAGAGACGGCCTGAGCCCAGACCCTGGACCCGCACAGGCATTAAAGCAGCCTTTTTTTTTCCTTCATTTTTTTTTCTTAACGTTTATTTATTTTTGAGACAGAGAGACAGAGCATGAATGGGGGAGGGGCAGAGAGAGGAAGACACAGAATCCGAACAGGCTCCAGGCCCTGAGCTGTCAGCACAGAGCCCGACGCGGGGCTCGAACTCACAGACCGCGAGATCATGACCTGAGCCGAAGTCGGACGCTTACCCGACTGAGCCACCCGGGCGCCCCATAAAGCAGCTTTTATGAACAGGCCAAAGGCAGGATGTCCCGGGGGCTGTGGTCTCTCTCAACACGTGAGCAGACAGGGAACTTCAGCAAAGAATCAGAAACCGTAAGAAAGACCGAAAACCCCAGAACTGTGAACACATCGGCGGGCGCGAGCTTCAGTGGGTGGGCTCCACGGCTGCCTGCGGGTGACATGGCTCCATGTGGTCAGGGGGCCTGAGGACAAACAGGGGAAATCATCCTGCCTGAAGATGAAAGAAAAATGAGCAGTCCCAGACACCCAAGGGCAACGTCACCGGGTCTCATGTACGTGTCGCTGGCAAGTCCAAGAGGAAAAGCAAACCGGAACCGGAAAAAATTTTGAAGAAATAAAGGCCACCATGTCCCCAATTTGAGGAACTTCTTCTACGGATCAAAGAACCCCAAGCGGGCCAAATGTCAAGAGAACCAAGTCTAAAAAGAACCGAGACGAACTTCTCAAGTTTACAATGAAAACGTCAAAGCAGCCAGAGAAGGGAGATACGTCAGGTGCACGGCACAAGCGTAAACCACGTGGGGCCCAAAGACACCGGAACCACGTGTTCCACGGGAGAGAGACGGTCACACATCCATCGCAGCTGCTGATCAGGTTAAGAAAAAGGGTTCTGTCATTTTGCAAAACATGCCAGGAAACCTCCCACCTTTTTTGTGATCCGGAACGAGACAGCACAGCATTGGGATGGGGATGCCCTCTGCAGCGTGAAGGACTCCAGCCGTGAAACAGAGGGGCTCGGGGAGCAGGGGCATAAGGGGTGCCTGGTCGTGGGGCTCCCACATCCCTCTTAGTGCGTCCTCACCTAAAGTACACGGCACCCATCTGGACACGCTCAGCTCCTTCAGGAGCGTAAAATGCAAAAAAAAAAAAAGGCTGTCTACCCAGACTTTTGCATTCAGGGAAAGTACTATTCAAAGTTGAGGGGGGGGGAACGCCATCCCTTTCGAGTAAACAGAAGCTGAGCGAACCCCGCCCCGCCCCCACCAGCGCACCGCCCACTAGAAATGCCGGATGAGGTCCTGTGGGCCAAGGGAAACGCTCTTCGTGCAGGCCCGGACCGTGGCCTCCAGAAGCAGAAACTACACACGCCAACGGGAAACGCCAGGCTCTCTTTCTTCTCGTAACTTAAAACACAACGGACGGTAAACCAAGATAACAAAATCCTAAGGTTGGGTTTATAACCGTGTGTGAAGGTATCACAACAAACAACACGAGAAACCAACAAAATCTGGACACACGGAAAGCGGCACGGGTCCCTCTCCCCGGCACCCGGACTCCCGGCCCGGCTCCTCGCCCGCCCCACGCACGGGCCTCTTCCAACAGCTCCTTCCGCGGGCGGCCCGACGCTCACCGCGTCCACGCACGCGGACCAAGCCTCCATGTGGTGAGAACCCGGGCTCCCGCAGCGTCCACGACAAGCTGACGTGAGCGTGAGGTGTCAGGCACACAAGTACTCCAGGGAGGCCCGCGGGGTGGGGGGTGGGGGGGCGCGCAGGGCGGTCGAGGATCCTGGGCACCTGCCCGACCTGGCGCACAGAGCGGAGACGCCCCCGGGGCCCCTCCAGCCCTCCTCGCCGCCGCCGCCGCGGTACCGTACCTCCGTCCCCGACCCTGGTCCCGGAGAGTCCACCTTCCGCTTCTTCCGGGGCCCGATGGCAGCGAGCGCGGTGAGGTTGGCGTCCCGCTGCCTCATCTGCGCCAGTTCCTGCTGCTGCATCTTTGTTGAGAAAAGGAAAACAAGGACCATCAGGTCACACGCGTGGCTCTCGCTTTGCTACGGAAAAAACAGAGGCGGCAGCGGGTCTTCGGAAACCGTCAAAGTTAAAATTTCTCTCACGTTTGGCTTCAACTGTAAGCTTATCCCGCAGTCAGAAAAATGAAGCAGAAGCAGATGCGCGCCTCTCAAAGCCCAGAGGACGTAACGAGTTGAAAGTACAAAGGCTACGGCGCACCCAGGGGGAAACACCGCCACATCTGGGAGCGGGACGCGGGCTGTCTGCAGCCGTCTCGGGCGGCTGTGTCGGTGCCCGTCGTACAGAAACACCGCCCCTTCCTCACCCTTTCTTGTGTGGCACGAGCAGGTTACGTAAGAGTCTATTTTCAAGTGTAGAGCAAAGATTCTCTGGCTGAAGACACTTACCTCTTTTGCCTTCTGTTTCAACCTTAGCTGTTCTGGGTCTTCTTGTCTGGATCGAGACTATTTTTTAAAGAGGTAAAAAGAAAAATAAGCTCGGACCTAAGTGTTCATCGTCTAACAGACACGCTATCTTACTCATGATGTGATAACATCCAGATCGTACGACGGGACATATGTTACATTTTTCAATGCTTTTTTACGGCCCAAACGTCACAATTTAGGCTGCACACCATGGGGAAAAAACAGCCATCACGAAGGTCAGTCCCCCTGGAGAAGAGCTCACACGTGGCTTTCACCGTGCCCGCCGGTCAAGGGCTCTGACGGACGGTGGGCCAGGTCGGCCCAAGGGGCTCTGGCTCAGGCCTGCGGCCCACCCGAGGCCCCCTTCCAAATCAAATGCGTCACGCCTTCGGGCCCGGGCCGGCCCCAGCGGCACGCTGGCCTCCCGGGGCCTGGGGTGGGAGCGGCCGGCCGCGAGAATCGCACACACTTGCCTTGGCCGCCCGCATGAGGATCTCTCTCTCTTGCTCGTCTTTCCTCTGCTTTTCAATTTGATCAAGCTGCTCAAAAAATTTGAGCTGAGCCCGGACATCACTTGCCTGCTCGTATCTGTCATCATCCTACAGAAAGGCAAGAACACGGTCACAATAAACCCGGGGACCGGGCTGGACGGGCTGCGCACACCCCGCTTCCCCAGAGCGAGTCCTACGGAGCCCCGCACACCCGCCCCCGGCCCGGATGGCCTGCGTGGGACGGGTCTGCAGGCCAGCATGCAGACGGAGGCTCGGTGAGCCGTGCTGGGGCTCGTGAGGGGTTTCCACCTCAAACGTTCGCGCATCATTTGATTTTCACTGCCACTCCGAGGGCACGGGCCTCACGCGGCTGGGCCCCTCTGCACAGCTCCCACGTGAGGACAGAGGAAGGCAGATCCCACCCTGCAACCTGCCCCTGAAGGCAGGACCTCCGTGCAGGTGACCCTCCACGACACAAACGGGGCAGCGGCCCGAGTCACGGGAGCAGGGCTGGCTCGGGGCCGTGGGCATGCCACGGTGGCACTGGCAGGGGCTCCGGGACCCCCACCCTGGCCCCGGCCCCGTGCCTCATGCAGGCCCGGCCTGCCCTCCTCCTCCAGCCGGGCGCACGGCGCTGAGGCAGCTCCGTGGAGAATTCGGAGCCAACGCGACACCTGTGCGGCCCCGCGCGCCCGGGGCAGGAAGAGGCTTCCCGGCAGGACCGACCCGGAGTCCACGGCCAGCTCGGCCTCTTCAGGACGGCAGCGTGTTACCTTGTACGAGAAGTTCTTCTGCTGGGCCGTCTCTGATATTTTCTCCACGAGATTCTGTAGCCTCTGCTGCGTGGCGTGTGATACGTAACTCACAACGTCCGGATGCAACTCCGTGATGCCGTGTTTTTTACCTGGGGGTAGGCAACGCTTTAGCCGCCGAAGCTCCTTCTCTCCTCTCCGAGTCACCGTTCTGTCTTCCACGACTCACCGCTCAGAGCGACCGGAGGGCGGCCTGGACAGGCCCTCGGGGCAGGGGTGGGGGTGGGGGGTCGGTCTACACCCGCTGCAACTACCTGAGAACCACCGGCATCGAGCTCGGGGAAAGTACCGCACCGGTAACAGGCAGGACAAGGTACCGGGTGCGCTCCGCCGGGGAGCTGGGCAGAAGACGGCTCTATGCGGGGCTAGAGTCGCATGTGCACCGGGGGCCCCAGTGACGGCGGCACCCACGTACCGATCTCTAGGATTCTTCTCTGTAAAGGCGCTGGTAGGAGAAAGGTTTCATCCTTACAGGATCGCGTCAGGGTGCCCACTAAGTCAGAGTTCGTGGCTAATATTCGTGCACTTTCTTCCGACAGGTTTACTCCCGCCATCGAGGCCACGTCGTTGATGTCATCGTCATCCCTTCAGAGAGGAAGATAAGCTGACTGAGCGAGGGGCGCGTCGGGAGACGCTCGGGGGGCCTGACCCAGCGGTCCACAAGCGGGGCAGGGGACCCCGGGCAGAGAGCGCACGGACGCCCCTCCAGGCGAGCGTCCCGCCGGCGCCCTCCGGCCCTGCACCGTCACCTGATCGAGGAAGCCCAGCGGTCTTCTTTGAAAAAGAGTCTGGTTTTTTTTCTTCTTTTAATTTCTTTTAATGTTTATTTTTTGAGAGAGACAGAGACAGAGCACGAGCAGGGGAGGGGCAGAGAGAGAGGGAGAGACGGAATCCGAAGCAGGCTCCAGGCTCCGAGCTGTCGGCACAGAGCCCGAAGCGGGGCTCGAACCCACGAACCGTGAGATCATGACCGGAGCCAAAGTAGGACGCTCAACCGACTGAGCCCCCAGGCGCCCTGGGAGTCCGTTCTTTTAAAGGAAGACCAGCTAAGCGTTAAAGCTGCACAGGAGTCCCAGCACGAGGATGCGTGTAGAGGGCTCCCCCACGGTCAGGACTAAGCTCAGAGAGCAAACCCAGCCACACAGGACCCACGGCTTCAAGGAGTTTGTTCCCAGTGAAACTTGGCTTAGAAAATCAAACAGCATTCTTTTCTTAAAATGGTCCCACAATTGTGGACAAGGCAGAGTCGGGGGTGAAGGACCCTTTCCTTCCTGAATCGCCTGCGGGGAAGCTGCCGACCTGACGCCCCATGCCCCGGATCACCCCACGCGTGTCCCCCGTGGAGCCGGCGTCCCCCGCGAGCAGGCCGCCAGCCACACGCACGGCCCTCCCTTCAGCCTCCCTAGCCTGGGACGCTCCTCAGCCTCGCCTTGGCTCTCGTGCCAGTGACGCTTCGAGGCCACGGGCCAGGTGTCCTGCAGCAGGTGTGTGTCCCCCGTCTGACTGACGTCCCCTCCCCTCGTGACAAGAATGTCACACAAGCCCCGCAGAGGGCCGGGTCTCCTTGGTCCTTTCCTGATGCACTCTGAGCATCTGACCCCTCTGGGGTCCCTGCCGGCTTCCCCCTCGTCATTAGCTCCCCATTTATTCACCGTCACGGGCTCGTGCTTTCCTGTCTCACCCAGGGCACACAGTCTGTCACTACAGACACGCACAGTGGGAGGGAGTCCATCCACCCCAGCACCGCTCTCTGACCTGATGAGATGTGCTAGCTTGCCCTGCAAAGACCCCAAAACCAGCCTTTCTCGGGCACCTGGGTCACGGCGCCACAATGGTTTTTGGAAGCCGTGGTCCGAGCACTGGGCGGGCTCCCTGCCATCCAGGCGCTACTCCCAGGTGCCTCTGGTGCACACAGCAAGGAGCCCCCGCAATCTGTACGTGGACACGGACACGGACCCCACGAGCTAACCTGGCACCACGGGGCCTTTCTAGCTCGCCTGGTGCCCGCAGTAAAGTTTCCTTCCGTGGGACATACCCGGATTCCCCGTGGCCCTCATTCCCTCGCTTCTCTGCTGTACAGGTGGGCCCCTCCCTCGGGGCGGTCCTCCCCGCCCCCACCGGACGCAGGCCCTCCACACCGGGCCATCCAGGCACAGCGCCCTCCTCACCCCGCTCGGGCGCCGACCCCGGCTCGGCACCGCTGACGCCAGCCCCGCTCCAGCGGCCAACGGTGTCAGGGACGAAGTCTGGTGGGGGCGGGCCTGTGAACACCCCGAGGACACGTGTCCTTTCCCGCTGCTTCATCGTGATCCACGTCAACGCCACGGCCTTCCCGCTGCGCGCCCCTGACACGCAGCTTTTTACCCAGCTGCTCAAGAGCCCAAACCACAGCATTTATTTCCAAAAGTCTGAAGTTAAAAGAAGGGCAGGTGAGGCGTCCTACGTGATGGTCACGACGCACTCGGAACACCAAGACCTAGCGTCACAACGATGGCTTTTCCGTCAGTTCATACAGAAAACAGCTGCTCATTTACTTCCTGCTATGCGTTTGCAGCAAATCTCCCTGCGCTAACTTTGCGGGAAAACGCGTACATGGGGGTCAAAGGCATGGAAAGAAAGCGGTCCCAAAACCACAGCGCCGGTGCCCCGCGGGCGAGGCTGCCACAGGCCCAGGCCTTGGCCCCGCCACCTGCTCAGCGCGGACAGTGCGCCCCGTACCGAAACGAGCCTCCCCCGGGCTCCTTGAGTTTGTTTTTCTGCACGGCAGCTGCTTGAGCCGAGACGGCAGAGAGCGCTTTGGTTCCAGGTAGCACGGCGGGCTTCACCACGGGCACTGCAACACAAGACAGCAGCGGTCCACGCGCTGCACGTGTGCCCCGCGCGCCCCCCCACCGCACCCTCCCCGCGGGACATGCGGGCGTGCCCCCGCTCCCCCGCCACACACATGGGCCCAACCGCTCGGGAGCCTGGCGGCTGAGGGGAGGGCATCACTGCCGACCCACCATGGTGACGCCCGTCAACACGCGGGACCCCTCGCCTGAAATCCTGGGCAAAGGCACGAGCGCACCTGTCAGGTGCAGGAGGGGCTCGGGACAGAGAACCCAGCAGCGCGAACTGGACCCGTTGCCCCTGAAATCACCCCGACGCGGCAATGGCCGCACGGCGCTGTGAACGCAGCAAAGGGCACCCGGACGTTTGGGGGGCGGTGGCGGGGAGCCCCGGGTGTGCGGCCCACGGCCCTCACCTGGCTGCAGCTGGTTCAGCTGGATCTGCTGAGGCGCGGTGAGCACGATGCGGCTGTGAGGCTGCCGGAGAGCGACCATGGGCGTCTGCGTCAACGTCACCTGCGGCGGGCGGATCAGTGCTCCGGGCTTGGGCGGCTGCTGGATGACCTGGGGCAGAGCCAAGGGCCCATGAGCACCCACGCCCAGCCGGGGCCCTGCCGGGACCTGGACGCCCACATCCGCGCCACAAAAGAGGTGAGCTCTGGGGGCAGATCTGCACGTGGGGCCTGAGGTCGGTGCCAGGACGAGGCAGGCTGACCCTGCGGTCTGGCATGGAACACGTGCCTTCCCCCCAAATCTCAGAAGGGGATACGGCTGCTAGCCACTGCAGGGCCCGTTTCCCTCCCGCACAGGGTCTCTAAGAGATGCGCCGCCTTCTACCCCGGGGGCGGGGGGGGGGGGGGCAGATTTCCCCGCATCCTGCCCTTAACTCAGCCCTCGGCCTTCAGGGAAGAGTCTCTCCTGGGGCCTCCCCGTGGGGGCCTGCCCGTGCCCACCACCCGAAGCTGAGCTGGGGAGACACCCCAGAGCTGAGTCCAGCCCCAGCTGTGTCCCCTGCTGCCCCCAGGCCTGCTCAGGGCTGCACTGCCTGGAGCTCCATCAGCCAGAGGGAGCTCTTGCCTCTGCCTTTGCTCCAGGGGCCCCCCCCCCCACCCCGCCCCGTCTAACCCTGGGCCCAGCCCAGCGCCCCGCCCCACACACAGTGGCACTCCCTGTGCCGGAGACACACTGCCCAGCCCAGAAGGTTATTACGTAGGTGACCTGATGGGCGTGCCCGGTATTACGAGACACTTGGTGGGGACACGGGGTGGTGCCCTACAACCAAACCGTTTCTGCAATAAACCCATGAAAATTCACCCTCTAAAGGAAGAGTCAAGACAACAACTGCCTCAGGGTGATTAGAGTCAGAATCAGGTTTTGCCACGAACTAAGGGAAAAGCCACGGTTTTCATCTCCATAGGCTTCCAGGATCCAGGAATGGACTGGACTCAGGCCTGACCCCACTGCTGCTCCCCCACACACACCCCCCCCCGGCGGGACTGGGAAACGCAGTGCAGAAGTGACCCCGTGGGGTCTCTGACCACAAACCTCTGACCACAAACCAGGAACACAGGTCAGGTCACAACTACGCACCACAAGTCAGACCTTTCCAGGAAAGACTGGGACCCACGAGGTTCTCCTCAAGGGAACGCCCCTTTAGCACAAATTAGGCCAGGGGGGTAGGACGGCCCTGTACGTACAGACCTGCACCCTCGGCACGAAAAGCCCTCCTCTCGCACGCACCCTCAGCCCGCAGCACCGCACAGTGCCCAGCCCGGCAGACCAGACGCTCTCACCCACCATCTCAGCACACCTTCCTCACCAGCGGTCAATGCGGGAGACAAAGGCTTCCCTGAGCAGGTGGGCAAACAGCCCCACGGACTCTGGTGGCTCACTCAGTTACTATGTGGCCGCTGTGACAAAACACACTCTACGACCCACTATCAGGTGACAAGGGAACCTGCACCGTGGGGGAGCTTTAATGGTCTGTAAAGCAACAAAATCCCTCTGAAATTAAAAAAGCCAACTGCCCTTCCAGGTTTGGGGAGCACATTTAAAATGCAACTCCTGCTGGGGCGCCTGGGTGGCGCAGTCGGTTAAGCGTCCGACTTCAGCCAGGTCACGATCTCGCGGTCCGTGAGTTCGAGCCCCGCGTCAGGCTCTGGGCTGATGGCTCAGAGCCTGGAGCCTGTTTCTGATTCTGTGTCTCCCTCTCTCTCTGCCCCTCCCCCGTTCATGCTCTGTCTCTCTCTGTCCCAAAAATAAATAAACGTTGAAAAAAAAAAAATTTAAAATGCAACTCCTGGGGCGCCTGGGTGACTCAGTCAGTTAAGCGTCCAACTCATGATCTCAGCTCAGGTCATGATCCCACAGTTCATGAGTTTGAGCCCACATCGGACTCTGCACTGACAGCACGGAGCCAGCTTGGGATTCTCTCTCTCCCTCTCTCTACCCCTCTCCCACTCACGCGGTCTCACTCTCAAAATTAACTTAAAAAAAAAAATTTTGAAATGTAACCCTTCCCAGCAAAGACAGCCCTCGTCTAGCCACGGAACTCAGAAAACTGGATCCACACCTTAAATCAACAATCGGTAGCCTGCAGCTTTGTGTCACCGAGACCCAAACTGGGGCTGCAGAGCTGGGCTCAAGGCCGTGAGACAAAAGGCCCACTGACCGCCTGCCTGATGTGTCCATCGCCAGGCACACAGTTTCCTGTCCCGGGGCCGCTGCTCCTGATCAAAGATAACGTCCCACTGAAGATTCACTACAAATGCCCGGTGTTCACTGGGGGCACGAACACCCCCGGCCGATACCAGGAATGGACAGGCCGCTGGGTAAGAGCCAACGGGCTTATCCCGTCTTCCCAGGAAACACGCGTGCGGGGCCTCGGCCCCAGATCACGCCTGAACTCTGTTAGCGCCCCGGCCTCCCCCAGCGGGAGCCCTGCCGCCTGCCTGCGGGGACGCGTCCCTGAGCCGTGGCCGATCTGCGTGAGAGGTGGGCACGGGGGTGACGGGCGAGGCTCTCGCCTTCATACCAGCGGCGTGGGCTGCCCCCGCTTGCCAACGCCAACCTGTGTGGGCTGCGTGAGGCTGATGACAGGGGGCTGGAGAGCGCTGGTCACGGTGGCCGCCGTCTTCCCGGCCGTGCGCTGGACCGAGCTGCTCAGCACCACGGCCGTGAGCGCGGTGGTGGCCTGCGAGGCGGGCGGCGGCTGCTGCTGGCTCTGCTGGATGAAGGCCGCGGAGTCGGGGGTCAGCTGTCTCAAGGCGGGCAAGCTTCTCTGGGCGGGAAGACAGACACAGGGTCGGCAGCGGCACGCGGCCGGGCTCCCTCCTCACAAACCCAGAAACCTCCCGCTCAGAGGAGCAAGCCCCTCAAGCTCAACCGCGCGGGTCTCAGCGCCTTCACGCCTCTGGGCGTCGGCACGGGCAGCCGGGCGCACTAACCCGCAGCCCCGCCGTCACCGAGCAGGATTATTCTCCGAAAGAACCGGCTAGAATTTGTTCAGAAAAAAGAAAAGGGTGGTATTTCTGAAAGACTCTTAAGAATGTCACGGCAGCAAAAGCTACTTAAGAGGGCCGGCCTGATGCCTTTGAACTCCACCGCCAACGGGCGAGCCCCGTCCATCGGCCTTCCGGCCGGTGCTTCTGTCTGCTCTGTGCCAGCAGCCAGGCCACGGGCCAGGGGCCTCAGGGCTCAGAGAAAAATCCCCTGATGACAGGGAACGGGAGGAGCGTCACAGGGCACCTGAAACCCACAAGCCCACGGGGCCACCTGGGCGCCCCCCTCTCCCCTCCACCAGGCCCACGGCAGGCTGCCGGGGTGCCGTGCCGCAGGGGGTCTCCACATTTACCTTCAGGAAAGGCACAAGGTAAGGTTGAGGTGAAGAATTAAGTTCTCGGTATAACCTACTGGTGAAATCTTCCGCTTCGATTTTTCCATCCTTAAAAACGAAAACCACAACAAAATTCTCTCGTGAACACAAGTTAGCACTCCTCTGGTTACTCAGCACTGCTCTGGTGCCCTGTTGGAATCAGCGTCCTTTCCGCCAGGTCTTGCACGGGGCAAGTCCGGGACGCCTTTACAAGAAGAGGCGACCCACATTGAGACCCCCAAGCCTCCAGGAGGAAGCCCGGGGTGGGAAGGGAGAACCCAGACTAGAGGGGGGCACAACCCTGTTCTGGAAACCGAAGCATGTGTGGTCTCAGGGTAGGGGAGGCAAAGAGAGGCGGGCAGGGACGGGATGTCACGGGCCATCCTCGAGAGGAAGCCCTAAGAGGGAGCGCTCTCAGCCAGGGCTGCCGACGTCTGGGGTCCCGCAGGGGAACTCGAGCTTCCGCCCAACCTGTCCAACCTGTGCCCTCTCGTTTGGGGTGTCCCCAGCAGCCAGGCCCTAACTAATGCCAGGTTCAAAGAGGAAGCGGCAACAGCGTCCAGGGGACCAGGAGGGCCCATGAGAAGGTGGAACAGGGGCCCCGGTGCCCTGCCGAGAGCACAGCCAGGCGGGGGCAGGGGTATGGCCAGATCACTTGGGGAGCGAGGGACGTAGCGCCGAGTGGCTCCTTCGGCAAGAAGGGACAGACCACAGACAAGGGACCACGGGGATGAACAGGAGAGGCATTTACTTCGTCAGCGATTTTCACGAGAAGGCGGAACTGTTACAATTAAAACAAAAAGCTAGGAATTGTTGCTTCCACGAGAGGGGAGATCGTTTTTCAATCTCTACGCTCCCTGAAAATACTTAAGTGCGTGGTCCAAGCAACTGCTTGCCTGCGGGAGCACGACTTCTGTCCTTTCCAGACCAAAACCAGGGTGGCCTGCAAGGGGGGCAAGAGCCAGCCCCCTGGGGAGGAGACGGCGGCTCCAAGAGTGGCTGTCCCGCCACCCGTCACCCCGGGGGAGGGGTCCCCCCTCCACCCCCAACCCGGCTGCCTGCGTCGAGAACGGAGGCCCCGGGCAGACACATCCCTCCAGCGGAAGGACGGAAAGCATCCAAGCGCCCAGATGTCAAACCACCAGGCTTCCTCAACAAAGAAACCAAAAGGAAAGCGAAGGGCAAGGAGGAGGGACCTGAGACCAAAGGAGACGCAGAGAAGACGGCCGTGCCCGCAGAGAGATGCAAGAAAAAGCCTCAAAAACGCTCTCAATCAGGTGTGTTTACAAACGCTCCTGAGGTGGACAGAACGCTTTCAAGTGGCCTTCGTGTGAGTGCCGTGGGAAGCAGGACGGGCCGGGCGCCGGCCTCCACCCAAGGGTGCAGGTCAGTCCCCAGGAGGCCACCACAGGCCGCGCGCGCCTCTGGCGGGACCTCCCCGCGTGTCAAACAAGTGCTCAGAGCCGCATCCTCTTACCAGTAGGTTCTGGACCAGCTCTTTCACGTTAGCGGCTGTCTCTGTAGACTGTTTACCAGATGAGGCCAGTTTTATTAATGTAGATAGAAAGTTTTTACATTTCTTCACGTTTTCCATGGTTTCCTGGATTCAAGTTAAAAAGATACAAGTGAAAAAGTCTTAAAAAGGCAGGTTTCCGTCAGAGCCTCTGGGTTCACCAGAACGTCTACAAGAAACTCCTTTGCAGAAAATGCAGCAACTCTCAGGGCTGCTGAGGGGTGGAAGCCGGGACGTGTGCCGTGTGGCCACACCAAGCGAGGGGCACAGCAGAGCTCACCCTGACTCAGCCAGCAGCTCAACGCCCGGGGACGTAACCGGGCGAACAACCATACGCGTGACCGTGAGGAACCTGTGGCACGTCCCCCATGACGTGGCTTTACCATAAAGAAAAGCTGGCGTCTACGTAAACACGCAACAAAAGGAATTAAACTATGACCCAGCTACGAGAGGTGCGGAAAAGCCTGAGCAGAGCAGCGTGAGAGGGAGTCTAAATAAAGCAGGACCCCGGCAGGTGACCGACGCACACGTGCGCGGGGAGCCACTGGAAGCCTAGCAGGGACGTGGCTCTGCTCTGGGGACAGTCGCTCCTGTATGCTGCACAGGCTGCGGCCTCAAATGCCACCTTTTGGGCTTCCGTCACCGTGGACTTCTGTGCGGCCTGGAGCCTCAAGCCTTCCCGCCGCCCTGCAGAGCCCGCTGGCTCACAGCCCGCCTGGGAGAGGCCGAGGTCCCCAGGCCATGCTTGCCCCGCGCAGCTCTACCCTGCAGGAAGGGGGGCTGCGGGCGGGAGGAGGGCCCCTCGAGGCTCCCGTCTCCCACCCACGGGTGGCACTCACCGTGGCAGCCGTGGAGGTGGTGGTGGCCCCTGGCACCGTTCGCTGAGGTGTCCCCGTCTGAACAGTCGTGGCCGTCCCGAGGGAAGTTGTCTGGGCAGCGCCACCCAGAACCAGCTGAGGCTACGAGAGTCCAAAGGCAAGGTAAACAGAGGGTCTGCAGAGACGGCCCTCACATCCCCCAAAAAGAACGAGACCCACAGCAGGCGGAGCCCTGGACCCCGCGGACAGCGAGCCTGGCCGAAAACTGGGGACAGGGAGCCCGGGCAGGGCAGAGCCTGGCCGGCGGAGGCCGGAGCCAGGAGTCCCACGGCCACCAGTGTGAAGTGTCTGTCCTCCCAGAAATGAGAAGCAAAACAGAGAAACTACAGCTGAAAACGTGTCACCTGGCTTGTGCAGAAGCCAGTGACGGGAAAGCACCGTCCTCCCGCCGGGTCTCCACCCACATCACCTCCGGCAGGGGCCCCAGCTGGGCCCCCGCCACCAGGCCAGCCTCTCCCTGCTCTCCACGAGCGAGCCTCATGGAGAAACATCACAAAACGAGGGCTTTCCGAGCAGATTTGAGCAATCCGTAGGGAGTGGGTGCGAGTGGGGAGGGGCCGGAGACCCCCACGGCAGCCCCTGGGGGCTCCCGGAGCCTGGCTCCACACGAGCCGTCGCGACAAACAGTTACTGCTCTGTGTATTACATTCTCCCAGTTGATGTGTCTAGCCTTCGACATTCCCTCTCCGGTTTTCCAGACCTTGCTGTCTGTGGCCCGGCGCGCCGGGAGGCCTCCCCTGAGCATCTGCGGCTATGCCGGTGGCTCGCTCAGCCCCCAACCCCCCACCCCGCGAGGGGACGGAGCTAGAGACGGCGGGCCCTCTCTTTACAACCTGAGTGTGCTCGCTCACTCCTAAGGTTCGCTCACAGGGATCACTGAGAACATCACATGACCCTTGGAAGGAAGGCCGCGGGGAAGGACACACGGAGCCACCGTCTCGGGGCAGCTGGGGGGACCGCTCAGAGGCTTCCGGACGCCCAGAAACGGCCAGGGCACTTGTCACCCCGTGCAAGTCCCCTGCACCTCAAGCCACACTCCCCACGTTCCCTTCTGCGGGCCTGACGCGTGCATAGGTCACCCCGTGGTGCCGACACCGCGTCTGCCTTCCACCTGACCCGCCAGCTTCAGGGCCTTCTCAGGACAGCTCCGCTCACTGTGAGCAGAACTCTAACACGCCCACCGGACTGAACCCAGGCGGAGAGCGAGTCCCAGGACAGCCACCCTCTCACGGGCGCTCCGAGGACACGAGTCTGCCGCTCTGCTCCCACCTGTCCAGCTGCTTCGAGGAACAACCTCCCTGCCGCAGACGCAGAAGGAAAGACGACGAGGTGCAGCCAGAGGGCAGGGCGCCCGGCGCCAGGAGGCTCCTGGGCCTCCCCCGCCAACCGTCCACACCACTCTTGCCTCGGCTTCCTCATCTGGGAAACCGGAACAGCGCCCGCCCCACCGCAGCACAGGGGGGAGTCACACGACAACCAGCGACGACGGAAACGCGGTCCCCGCACGCGGCAGACGCCCGACACAAAGTGGCCAACGCCGCACAACCTGCATCGTGACGGACGCTCGAAACACCTCAGGACCGAACAGCTCTGAACCCCTCTGCTTCCGGCTTCCCAGCCTGGCCGCCCAGCGCCAGCCGCCACCCTGCCCAGGTGGCTCCTCCCGGCTGACGGAAGGGGCCAGCCTGCCCTCGGCTTGACTGACCAGAGGCAGGCTGACAGGGGAGGGTCACCAGGGCACTCTCCCCACCACAGCCTCGGACACCCGGGAAAGAACACACACACACACCAACCCCAGAAGGCTGATGGGGAACGTTTCTGGGACCGGGCTTGGTTCCTGGCAAAGGGCACAGGCCTCGGGGATGCAGGGCAGCTGGGCAGCCGCACACGGGCCCAGGGGTGCGTTCCAGAAGCCCCCGACCCCTCACCTGTCAGTGCCTCACCAGGAGGAGAGGGTTGTGGAGATCACACCCATCAGCGCACACGAGCAGCAGGAGCCCCGCTCCAGACGAGACGCGCATCCTCGCCCCCGCACTTACAGGTCGGCGGGCACCACGCCCAAACCGTCCACGCTACAGATTCCTCTGCTTTACGGTCAAATAGTAATAAGGCGATTGTTTCCGGGGCGCCTGTGTGGCCCAGTCGGTCAAACGGCTGACTCTTAATTTCAGCTCAAGTCATGATCTCACAGATCTTGAGTTCGAGCCTGTGTCTGGCTCTGTGCTGACAGTGCGGAGCCTGCTTGGGATTCTCTCTCTCCCTCTCTCTCTCTCTGCCCATCCTCCCCCAAAATAAATAAACATTTTTTAAAAAACAAGGCGGGGGGGCACCTGGGTGGTTCAGTCGGTTGAGCTTCTGACTCTTGATTTCGGCTCAGGTCATGATCCCAGAGGTTGTAGGATTCTCTCTCTCCCTCTGCCCTCCCCCGCTCGCATGCACTCTCTCTCTCAATTAAAAAAAAAATTTTTTTTTAATTAAGGTGATTATTTGTAATTATGCTTCTGGCACAGGGAGAAGCTTTTTTTTTTTTTTTAAGTGTATTTACTTATTTTAAGAGAGAGAGAGAATCCCAAGTAGGCTCCACACTATCAACACAGAGCCCGACATAGGGCTCGCTCCCGTAAACCACAAGATCATAATCGAAGCTGAAACCAAGAGTCAGACGCTCAGCCGAGTGAGCCACCCAGGCAGGCGCCCCAGGGGGACGTTTTAAAAACACAGCTGGTGTCGGGGCGCCTGAGTGGCTCACTTGGTTGAGCGACCGACTTCGGCTCAGGTCACGATTTCGCAATTGACGAGTTCGAGCCCCGCGTCGGGCTCTGTGCAGAGAGCTCAGAGCCTGGAGCCTGCTTCAGAGTGTGTATCTCCCTCTCTCTGCTCCTCCCCTGCTCATGCTCTGTTTCTCTCTCAAAAATAAATAAATATTAAAAAAAAAAAAAAAAAAACCCACCGCTGGTGTTCAATCCCATGCGGTTTAAAGAAAAGCCTGACCTAGCCTGGGTAGGCCATCAGAGACAAAACAGTCCTCAGGACACTTCCTCCCGAAGCCCACCTTTGCATCCGACCTCCCAGCCCGCGAGGCCCGACCTCCACGCAGAGGGCGCTGCTCCCACGGCCTCCTCACCTGCACTCCGGGCGAGCGCTGCAGTGCCGTGGCGGGCTGTACCGTCGTCTGGGCCTGAGACACTTGCTTGATTATGGTTGTTGGGGTCACCTGCCGTGCAATAATAGGGGTCCCAGGTGCCTGAAAAATAAGCAGGCATCATCTAAAAGGAGCAACAACTGACACGGTTCCCCGCCCCCAACACAGCCGAACCGCCCGCTACCGCAGAAGGGGGGGCTCGGGCGCATCGGGCCGCGAGCTACAGTCAACAGAGCCACCCCACTTCAAGGGGGGAGCGTGTGACCGGAATCTGTGCGTACGGTGGTAACACCACCACCGGGCTCCTTCACCCCGGTCTACCAAACGTGGACTTTAAAGAACGCGAGTATCTGGGAAATCAGTCCTTGTGTGGATTTCTGGTCATCTTGTTCGTAAGCACTGAAACGGTAAGAAGCGTGCGTCCCCTGGGTCTAAAGATGGGTCACGTTGCTGCGGAACAGGAAGTAAAGGAGACAGCGGTCCGAGCGGCCCACTGACACTAATCCGGATAGAAAGACGGGGCCAGTCCTGAGCACACCGGTGCAGACGCGGGCTGACAGCGGCCACGCTGGCGGCCAGACGGTAACACACACGCGTGACAGTGACAGCACGGGTGTCATCTGCCTGCATCTCGCTTCACACGGCCCCACGGGCCTTGACAACACTGCTCTGAGCCGCCCTGGACATTCGACGAGGGGCACGGTGTCTCCCTGCACAGCCAAGTCCTCCGTCTACAGTGCAGGCCTTCACCTCCCGAGGGAACGCGGCTGAAATCACAGGAGGAAGAGACCTCAAGCCCCTTCCAGCCTCCACTTGAGTTACTAACCAGCCAGCCAGTCAGGACGGCAGGGTCACGGCACCGGGCAGAAAGGCATCGGGAGACAAGACGCGGGTAGCGTGCTGGCACGCGCTGAACAGAAGTCAGGATGCGGACAAGACACGCCAGCACGGGGGTCCCGTCCCCCCTCCAGCCAACCTCCGGGCCCAGGGTGCTAACCCCCAAGCACGTGGGGCGGGGTGCCGTTCAACGCAACCTCCTGACGCTCTCACGCGCCTCCCTGACAATAACACTAACGCACGCAGGGTTCACTCTGCAGAAGAGGAGACTGAGGCACCGGGGGTGGAGTCACGGGAGGGGAGGGAACAGACAGGACGGAGTCCAGGCAGAGTTTCGCTGAGCATGGACGCGGAGCTGGCTCCCCTGAGCCTCCCGAGGGTGGCCGCGCGTGGCCGCCCCTCTCCGCCCTCGCGGGACACCTGCCGGAAGGACGTCCCTCGGGCTGCTGCCACCTGGCGCGCGTGCACTCACCTGTACGGTAGAGATCTGGACGGGAGGGGCACTTGTGGGGGTTGCAGGGCGGGGCGCCATGGTGGTCTGAGGCTGGGTCTGCACGTGGGCCTGGGCCTGCATCTGGGCCAAGGCCTGCTGAGGAATCATTAACAACTGCCCGTTCTCGCTCCGCACGAGGACCATACCTGGGGATAGAGGAGACCTGGCGTCAGGAGACGTGCCCGCCCCCGTCCCCCCTCCGCCACAGCCGGGGAAGGTGCTGACCCTACCAGAGGGGAGCCGGTCGGCTCTGAGAAGGAAAAAGGAGAAGCTGCGAGAGTGCAGGGTCGCACGCTCGCCAGGAAAGACGGCGTTCGGGACGGAAAGACGGCGTCCGGGACGGAAAGACGGCGTCCGGGACGGAAAGACGTACGAGGTTTTCCTCGTGGGATTCAAGCAGCAACTGAGTCTTGGAAAGGAAGCCAGGCGGCGAAGCTCCCGCGGCCACAGCACCTGCCCCGCGGCCGCCTGCACGGCCACACGCCAGCCCCACGAGGCGGCCCGGCGCTCGCCACCGCCCCCAGCCCCACCGGCCGTCTCGGAGGAGGGAGGCCTGGGGTCCTGGGGGCCCGAAGCAGGCACTCCTCTCGGGAACACAACTCCCGGGACTGCTCTCGGGTGCGGGGGCCGTGCCACGCCCGCGGCTAACCTGGGGCGCCCGCGACACACACGCAGGGACAGGGACGGCCACCCGTGCTTGGCAGCTCCAGAGCTCCATCACCAGGAAGCAAGTGCCATCAGCCAGACGCGGCATTAACTGTAGCTTCAAGAACCACAAAGCACTTACGTCGTCGATTCCACCAGAAACAGCAGCCTATCCCCACCTGGGGATAAGTCTCCCACTCGGTGGGACAGGGCGAGGAAGAAACGCTCCGCTTCGCACGAGGCCCGGTGCCTGGCGCTCCGGGACAGGAGGCCACCCCGGCGCGGCCCGGCCTCTTCCAGGCTGCACGCAAGGTGGCCTCTCCGAGAAGAAACGGCCGGCCGGCCTCACAACGAGCAGCATCAGGGCTTTCCCTCCCGAACCAAACGGGAGCTCGAGTGACCCCAGTAACTCCCAGAGGAGCCCCTGAACCCCCGGGGTCCCGGCTCCTTCGACACCCAGCATGACATCCAGAAGTAACAGGCCTCTCCCGGGCTCACAGCTATAATCCCTCATTTCAAAGAACCACATTCATCCCCATTAAGTAGTAAGCTTCCTTCCAAAACGTCCCCGTTATAATAAACCGTGCTGAAATGTAAAAACAAAACAAAAACCAGCTGCTGAAATAACACTCTGCTGAACTCTCCCAGACCCTGGAGCCCAACAGCACACTGGGGACCCCAAAAGAGGAAACCTGGCCCTCCTCCCAATGCCAGTCTCTCAAGCCCACCATCCCCTGTCACTAGTCACTAGAGACCCCCTCCCCCTCGTTAGGGTTCTGGGAAGCCACTTGCTGATGTCGCCGAGCAGCGAGGAGGGATGGCCAGGCCCCTGGCCATGTAAAGGGCCCGCCAGCACCCGTGACTTAGTGCCCCAACTTTAAACCTGTTAACGTGGCAGTGCATGAACGCGCTTTGACTATCAGCTGCTTTTCTGCTTAAGAAATCACACCTACAGAAACTTAGAGGAATATTTAAAGGATAAACATGTATGAACCAGTGACGTGGTTAAGATGCTAACAAAACAGAAGTGGTGCCCTGGCCCCACAGACCCGTAAGAAAAGGTACCATGAGCCACGCAGCAGGCCTGTGGTTTGAACAAAATTTGGAGAAGTGACCACGTAACTTTAAGCAGGTAACGTAACTGGACTCGGGCATTACAAACACGTCCAAGTGGGTATGTAAATGGAGCAGTGAGATTGACGGACACAGCTGGACACGAGGGAGGCGGGCTGCTCGTAGACCCCGGGACCCCCACTGACCGCGAACCCGAGAACAGCCACTCGCTCCTGAGGCGGAGGGAAGGCTACGCGCACAGGAGGGCAGGCGCTGTCCTGGGGCCGCACTTCACGCCCAGTCTCCCCAGCTATGGTCACTGATCGGGCAATAGGCAGAATAGCCCGAGGACAGACTATATTATCTATGGGGCGCCTGGGTGGCGCAGTCGGTTAAGCGTCCAACTTCAGCCAGGTCACAATCTCGCGGTCCGTGAGTTCGAGCCCCGCGTCAGGCTCTGGTCTGATGGCTCAGAGCCTGGAGCCTGTTTCCGATTCTGTGTCTCCCTCTCTCTCTGCCCCTCCCCCATTCATGCTCTGTCTCTCTCTGTCCCAAAAATAAATAAATGTTGAAAAAAAAAATTTAAAAAAAAAAAAAAAAAAGAATAGCCCGAGGACGGTCACCACACTGACCGCTGCGTCGAACACCCTGTCTTAATGACGTTATCGCAGCCCTGGATCTCGTCAACTCTGGCTGTGACCACTCATCTCAAACAGATAAGCAGCTGTACAGAGTCTACTCCTGCCAACGCTGAGACACACAGGCCTGGCCCACAGTCACACCGGGAGGCCGCCCCTCCCCACCCTCTGCAGGGGCAAGGTGGGCACCTCCACCACCCACAGACGCCGCCAAAGGCCCCCCGCACACCCGGGCCACCCGGCAAAGCCCTGACACGGAAAACACAACGCCCACTTCAGGAGACCCTTCAGAGCCTGTCTGGCCCGTGCAGCCGAGCCCTACAGGCAGTCACCAGGCAAGCCGGGAGCCCCGGACCGGCCTTCCAGGCCTCCTGATGGAGCCCAGCCCCTCCCTCACCCGGGAGCCGCTGCCTCCCCTCTACTCCAGACACATTAAAGCCAAAACCAGCCAGTCCACGGAAGCCACAACCCTGATCGGGCAGACAGAAAAGAACTTGGGTTTTCTTTTTTTTTTTTTTTTTTTTAACATTTATTTATTTTTGGGAGAGAGACAGAGCATGAATGGGGGAGGGGCAGAGAGAGAGGGAGACACAGAATCAGAAACAGGCTCCAGGCTCTGAGCCATCAGCCCAGAGCCTGACGCGGGGCTCGAACTCACGGACCATGAGATCGTGACCTGGCTGAAGTCGGACGCTTAACCGACTGCGCCACCCAGGCGCCCCTTGGGTTTTCTTTTTTAACAATTTTAATATCTTTCACAGAGTAGAGTTTGTACGGGAAACTTGAGGAACTCAGAGATGCACACGGAAAACAAATCTCCTGAAATCCCGCGTCCTCTGGTGACCGTGTGCGTGGAAAACACGCCAAGGCCACTGTGAACACAACTGAGGCTATGGCGTTGCTACTCAGCCCGCGTCGTCTTCTCACTTCTTGTAGCGTAAGTTGTTTCCGTGTCATTGAACGTTCCTCAAAAACACAATTTTCAGTAGCTACGTAATATTCCATCCAAAGCGTATTTATGATTTCTTTATTGGTGAGGATACTGGACTATTCTCTATCTTTTGCTGCTGTGAAAGCTCAGATTTTAAAATGACAGCGCACGGCATGAACACCCTGCCGGTAGTTCCAAGGTCCGTGCCATGCAGCAGTGACCGGCCTCCCTGTGCTCGCCGCACGAGGCCCTGACCCCGCCCACACTGGGAGGCAGGGCGCCCCACACAGCAGAGCGGAGCGCACACACAGTATCCCAGTATTGCACGGACCGCCAGTTCCTAAGAACGGATCCGACCCCTCCTCGAGCACCAGAGTTCAGGATAAACTCAAGGTTTTCACCCAATGTTAGCTGTCATGATCCCTCTCCTACAACATTCCTTATCGTATTTTTAACCAAAACGTAGGTCAAAGCTATACTACAAATTAAACAGGCACTTTTAGATTCCGCCGGGAACCCCACCTGCCCATTAAGTAAGCTGCCCTCCAAAACTTCCCTTTCATAATAAACCATGCTGAAATTTAAAAGCAAAACAAATTTGTTTCAATTCTGGGGAAGCCAGGGGGCTCGGGCCACGGCCCCTCACACGCGGGCCTGGGATAGGGGGCACCTCCCCGAGGGAACAGCGGGAGCTGGAGTGACAGGAGCAGGGAGTAGCAGCCGGGGTCAGGGGGACCAGACTTCCGCCACGAGGTCTCCACCGGGCCGTGGTGAGAGTCAACACAGACAGCGGCAGGAAAGGCAAAGCCGTCCGCGATCACACACGTGCAGAATGAGACTGTGCCCCGAGCCCCGACGCTGATGCTGAAGAAGCCAGAGTCAGGACGTGCCCAAGAAAAGGGCGCAGTCTGTCTGCACCTCGCTGGATGGTTCAGTTCTGAGTGCCGCACACCCCACGCTCCCGCGCCAAGAGGAGGAGACCGCGGAGGGGGAGGGCCGGGAGGGCCGGGGTAGAAGGGAGACCGTCCCTGGGGCCCTCCCACCACACCGCCACCCACAGCCCCGCCAGGAGGAGCAGCAGACCAAGCAAGATGCTAACGGGGACACCGGTAAAGCTGGTGGAAATTAAGGCCCAAGTGTTCCTTTTACTCTCACGGCTGTCCGCCTCTTAAACGCACAGGGATGAGGATTCGGGGCACAGGGTCAGACAAGCGCGTGGGCGGGGCTCCCGCGTCCTGGCACCACACCCCGCCACGCAGGCCTAAGCAGGGAGGGGACAGCGCACCAACTGTACCAAACGGTGCTGCTGAGCCCAATCCACACCCGACTCACACGTGAGGCCAGACACGTGGCCCTGGTCCCAGGGTTTCAACCCTTCACGAGCAGCTGGTCAATGTCACATCTCACCCCGCTCGTCCATAAACTGCAAACTTCCAGTTTCTGGAAAACTCCCCCCAGGGCCCCTGAAGTGCCAGCAGACAGTGGTGCAGGACCCACCGGCCAGCTGAGCTGGGGCGCCAGCTCGGGGGTGAAGAAGTCCCCACCAGAGTGCGGGGCCCTGTTCGTCAAGGCTCATCCTGCGTCTTCCGGGGGGCATCGGTGTTTCACAGCGCGCACCGAGGGCACCTTTCTTTTAAGACCTGTTTACTGTTGCCAAGTTCAATATTCTCTTTGTCATCTGCACAGGGGGGCAGTTCAAGGCTGGAAGCAAGAGCAGCACAGGAGGAAACACTGCTGCTCCGGGGGAGGGAGCAGTGGCATTACCGCATTTCTGAATATTTAGCTGGAGATGAAGCTTCTGACCCGATTCATGTTCCAGCTTGTGCAGCTCCCTGCACAACACACATGCCATCATCATGAACTTTAGTTCATCTGAGCA